CTTCAGGCCATGTGTATAAGATGTATTTGAAACAAATGAATTTCATGTTTAGACTTGGATCCAATCCCCAAGATATCCAAGATATTCCAAAATCCGAACAAAATGGAAAACTGAAATACTTCTGGTCCCAAGCGTTTAGAATGAGGGATACTTGGCCTGTATTTTCCTTTAGTGAGTTTCTTTTTCATCAGTTACCCTTCTCTGTCTTGAATGGTTCTTGTGCTTTATGTACAGTCCCGTCTTTGCTTGTTTTAGTCAATTGACCTTCTGTTGGAGTGACATGATCTCATTCTGCAATATTCCCTTGAGTCTAAAGTTAATCAGGAATGCTCATCTGACTATAGTCCATCCTGCCATTTCCTTTTTCATACTGTCCTGATCTTCATTCTCATTGAATTCCATTTTGCTCCTCCAGTGTGTTAATTCTTCCTTACTCTTGCTCCTTTCCATGTCCTGTATGGACCCATGCTTGACAATTTGAACTAATTTTTTTCCAGCCCTTGGATTCCTTGTGTCCCTATCCTGTCACATCCAAGTAGTCTGATCGTAATGCAGAATTGGTGCTAGAGTCCAAATTCTCTGTTCGTTTATCTGGGTACTTGTGTGCTGCTGGAGAAAGTCAGCTATCTCCTCTCTTCTTTTCAACTCTCCTTCTTGAGAAAGCCTTTCTCTCTAGCATAGAAACATATTCTCATTTTTTTTCCATCCTCCAAGAAGAAGCATTTTACAATGCTTGTCAAAATGAAATAACATATTTATGGCTCATAAGACTCTTTTTTCTTAGGTTCTCTCTCAGCAATTACAGCAGATGGAAGCTGAACATAATACTTTAAGGAACACCGTGGAAACAGAAAGACAGGAGTCTAAGATTCTACTGGAAAAGATGGAACTTGAAGTGGCAGAGAGAAAATTATCCTTCCACAATCTGCAGGAAGAAATGCGTCATCTTTTAGAGCAGTTTGAGCAAGCAGGCCAAGCCCAGGCTGAACTAGAGTCTCGGTATAGTGCTTTGGAGCAGAAGCACAAAGCAGAAATGGAAGAGAAGACCTCTCATATTTTGAGCCTTCAAAAGACTGGACAAGAGCTGCAATCTGCCTGTGATGCTCTAAAGGATCAAAATGCAAAGCTTCTCCAAGATAAGAACGAACAGGCAGTTCAGTCATCCCAGACCATTCAGCAGCTAGAAGGTCAGTAGCTGATTACTTTTGAAGTCCATGTCTCTGGCACCTGAGTGGCTTGTATTTCATGTTTTCAGGGATCTGTTAATGAAATTTTTGCTCAAACCAATTGAACCAATAGAAGGACTAAGAAAAACAGCTCTTCTGAACTTCTTGTTGCATTTTTGATGCCTCTGACTGGTTATAATCTGTCTTAATATTACTATTATCATTACAGTACTAAAAATGTGATAGTGATGTTCTGGATATTAAATAGAATGCTATATGAAATATGACTCAGATCTAAAGGATTCAGTGACTGAAATGAGTAGGATTTGAATTTGTTTTTGGGAAACTCAGGCCAGATATAGGTCCATAGGTTAGGAGACTAAATTGCATGGCATCATCTACAAATGGATCTCAGTGCTTTTCTTACAGGTGAAAATATTTTTTCACCTAATTTCTTTTCTTATAGGTGAAAATTATCCTTTAAGAAGGTATAAAGAAAACTTTTTAAAATATGCTGTTATAAAATTAATATGTGCCACTAAGAAATGGAACATTTTAGAACTTTATAAATTAAAAAATAAAACTTCTTAACAGCAATACTCATCTCACTAGTCTTCTTCCCCAAATTATAATCTTTACTAATAGATTGGCATAGATGTAAGGGAGAGATTTTGGAAAGAATTAAGTGGAAAATTTGTATTGAATAACTGAATTTTAGCTAGACAGTTTTGAAGGGCATCACATGGGAACAGAGTGTTACGTGAGCAAGCTGTTCTCTTAAGCATGTTCATGTTTAAAACTTTGTGATGAAATCTTGGTGGGACCCATAACACCTACGTTGAGAGTGAAGAAAATAAAAACCCTAAAGCCATTTTCAAGGGGGAAAGGGAAAATGAACTTTTAAAAAATGCCTAGGGCCGGGTGCGGTGGCTCACACCTGTAATCCCAGCACTTTGGGAGGCTGAGGTGGGCGGATCACCTGAGGTCAGGGGCTTGAGACCAGCCTGGCCAACATGGTGAAATCCCATCTCTACTAAAAATAAAAATAAAAAAAATTAGCTGGGCGTGGTGACACATGCCTGTAATCCCAGCTACTTGGGAGGCTGAGGCAAGAGAATCAGTTGAATCTGAGGAGTCGGAGGTTGCAGTTAACCAAGATCACACCACTGCACTCCAGCCTGGGCAACAGAGCGAGACTCACGTATAAAAAAAAAAAAAAAAATGCCTAAGCTTATTTTATTTTACTTTTGAAGGAAATGGTTTACTGAGGTGTCCTCTGGTCCTTGAGAACATTTAAACAATTAACAATCAATTAACAATGTTATCATTGGCATTATAATTTTAACTAAGGTAACTAAACTAGTAAACAGCAGTGTATCCTTAGAAGATAATAACTACATTTCAGACTTGAAGCAAATATTACATTTATTTGTTTTCTTTTCCTTAGATCAACTCCAGCAAAAATCCAAAGAAATAAGCCAGTTTCTAAATAAACCACCCTTGCAGCAACATGAAACAGCATCTCAGACTTCTTTCCCAGATGTTTGTAATGAGGGCACACAGGTAATTAAATGTGAAGGTCTTATGAATGTTAACTATTTGTCTTTGTTGTATCTGTACTTCAGAGCTCTAGTGAGGATTTATTCCAGAGAGCTGTATAAACCTTCTGTTTTTTCTGCCTGACAAAATACTTTTTTGAGGACAATTCTATTTGAAAGGAATCATGAAAGGCATTAATGCAGGGTTTCAACAATAGAGAATGAGAAAATAATAGATAACAAATAGAATGATCTCAGAAGCCTTTCTGATTTTAAGGTCTTAACAATTGTATTGGAGATGAATCATTGCTTTTGCTTTTATAGTTAATTTTCTCAATTCAGAAGTCTTTTTTTGGGGTAAACTAAGATTTGATCAGGTTTAGTGAACATGAATCAGTCTAATCAAACTTAAAAGTCTACTATGGAAATCATATTGTTCCCATTAATTAACAGTAAAAAAAAATAATAATGGCCAAGTAGCTTCTGATTGGCCAATATATTCTCTCTTCCTTCTACAAAAATCTCTGTAGAAAGCTGGATTATAATCATCGAAGGTGGATTCAGGCTGATTGAGCCTGAGTATCAGAACAAAGATAGTTAGTTTTATGTTCTTAATTGACTAATGTCAAGTTGGGATAACTAGATTCATTCATCTCCATTGTAAGATTATACCCTTCCAAACTCACAGACTTACTGGCCAGCAGAGTCCTATGTTTCCTGTGCTGTACTGTGCACTGATAAAAATTTTTGCCTCTTGGTTTCTAGCATCTAGGCTTTCTAATCTCTTCTATTCTCCCATTCTAGACTTTTTCCTCTAATGTTTTGTTAAGACATTTTCCAACCATTCAAATAAGTTGAAAGAATTTTATAGTAAACATCTGTATACCCACCATCTGAATTCTACCATTGACATTTTAACATGTTTGCTTTATCAAATGTCTATCTATTTATTCATCCCTCTGCCCATTCATCAGTCACAGTAAGTTTTGGACATCAGTACATTTCTCTCTAAATATGTCAGCATTCATATCATTGACTGTATTTCAATATTTGTTTATAATTGTTATTTTTTTTGAGGTAAGATTTACAAACCTTTAAATGCACAGATCTTAAGTATACCATTCCTTGAGTTTTGTCAAATGCATACACCTTTGTTACCCAAATCCTTGTTCAAGATAGATCACATTACCATCACCTTACAAACTATCCTTATACCCTTTACAGTCATCCTCACCTTTCCCCTTCAGAGACAACTACTGATTTTTCACCATAGATTAATTTTGCCTGTTTTAAAACATCATATAAATTTACCATACAATATGTCCTCATACATGTAAAGCTTCTTTTACTCAGCATATTTGAAGATTTATCCATATTGTGCATGTATTATAATTTATTCTTTTATATTGCTGAGAAGTATTTTGTTTTATGAATATGCTATATTTTCCTTTTGCATGATTTACTACATTTTCCTATTGATGGACACCTGGACTTTTTCATGGTTTGACTATTATAAATTAAGCTGCTATGAACATTCTCTTTTTCTTCTTTTTTTTTTTTTATTATTTTATTTTTAATTAAAAAAAAGTGTTTTTGAGACAGGGTTTCACCATGTTGGCCAGGCTGGTCTTGAACTCCTGACCTTAGGTGATCTGCTCGCATTGGCCTCCCAAAATGCTGGGATTACAGGTGTGAGCCACCACACCCAGACATTATGAACATTCTCATATAAGTATTTATATGGACATATGTTTTCATTTATCTTCAGTAAATACTAGTTGAGGTATTGCTTGGCTGGCCATAAATTACCTATGTATTTAGCTTTATAAGTTACTGCCAGATCTTTTTCCCAAGTTTGTACTTTTTTTTTTTTTTTTTTTTTTTGAGACAGAGTCTTGCTCTGTTGCCCAGGCTGGAGTCCAGTGGCTTAATCTCGGCCCACTGCAACCTCCACCTCCCAGGTTCAAGCAATTCTCCTGCCTCAGCCCCCCAAGTAGCTGGGATTACAGGTGCCTGCCACCACACCTGGCTAATTTTTGTATATTTAGTAGAGACAGGGTTTTACCATATTGGCCAGGCTGGTCTCAAACTCTTCACCTTGTGATCCACCCGCGTCACCCTTCCAGAGTGCTGGGATTACAACCGTGAGCCACCGCGCCCAGGTGTGGTTGTACTATTTTAGACTCCCACCTAAAATATATGAGAGTTCCACATCTTCTCCAAGATTTGGTGGTGTCAGTTTTAAAACATTTTAGCCATGGCCAGGCACAGTGGCTCACGCCTGTAATCCTAGCACTTTGGGAGGCCGAGGTGGGTGGATCACCTGAGGTCAGGAGTTCAAGACCAGCCTGGCCATCATGGTGAAACTCCATCTTTAAAAAACAAAACAAAACAAAACATTTTACCATTCTAATGGGTATGTAGTGGTATTTCATTGTGGTTTAAATTTGCATTTCCCTGATGACAAATTATGTTGAACATTTTTTCTTGAGATTCTTAGCCATACCTTCTGTTGATGAAGTGTCTGTCTGTTTACATATTTCCTTATTCTGAAAATTGAGTTGTCTTTTTATTATCAAGTAGGTATTCTTATATATTCTGAATGTCAATCTATTATCATATATGTTTGGTGAATATTTTCTCCCATGCTGTGGCTTGCTTATTCATTTTCATCATGATATCTTTTTATTAGCACACACTTTTAAATTTTGATAAACTTAATTATTTATCATTTTTTGTGTGTGCCCTGTCTATGAAACTTTTCGTAGCCCCAATTCATGAAGATATTCTCTTACGCTTTCTTCCGCTGGCTTTATGGTTTTAGTTTTCATATGAAGTCTCTGAATCTCAAATGAAATTTTGTGTGTGTCATAAGGTAAAGGTCAAGTTGTTTTGTTTTTTTGCATATGGATATTTAGTGTTTTAGCACCATTTCTTAAAGAGACTCTACTTTCCTCAGTGGATTCTGTTGTTACCTTTGTTGAAAATCAAAGACTAATATGTCCATTTCTGAATTTTCTGCTCTGTTATATTGATCTGTTTGTCAGTCCCTATGCCAGTGTCATAGTCTTCATTATTGTAGTTTGTCATTAGTCTTGAAGTCAAGTATTAATAGAAGTCCTCTTAACTTTGTTCTTTTCAAGGTTGTTCTGATTATTCCAGGTCCTTTCTGCATAAATTATAAAACCAGCTTCTCAAATTCTACTTTTTTAAAAAAGACAGATGAGATTTTGAATTGGCATTGTGTGGAATCGGTTGATCAATTTAGGGAGAATTGAAACTTTTAAATCTATGAATATAGTATGTATCTCCATTTATTTAGATCTTTTTTTTAATTTTTATTTTTTATTGCATTTTAAATTTTGGAGTACATGCAAAGAATATGCAAGATTGTTGCATAGGTACACACGTGGCAGTGTGATTTGCTGCCTTCCTCCCCATCACCTATATCTGGCATTTCTCCCCACGCTATCTCTCCCCAACTCCCCACCCCATGCTGTCCCTCCCTTCCCCCCCACAGACCCCAGTGTGTAGTGCTCCCCTCCCAGTATCCATGTGCTCTCATTGTTCAACATGCACCTATGAGTGAGAACATGCGGTGTTTGATTTTCTGCTCTTGTGTCAGTTTCCTGAGAATGATGGTTTCCAGGTTCATCCATATCTCTGTAAAGGACACGAACTCATCGTTTTTGATGGCTGCATAATATTCCATGGTGTATATGTGCCACATTTTCCCTGTCCAGTCTATCATTGATGGGCATTTGGGTTGGTTCCAGGTCTTTGCTATTGTAAACAGTGCTGCAATGAACATTTGTGTGCATGTGTCCTTATAGTAGAACAATTTATAATCCTTTGGATATATACCCAGTAATGGGATTACTGGATCAAATGGAATTTCTAGGTCCTTGAGGAATCGCCACACTGTCTTCCACAATGGTTGAACTAATTTACACTCCCACCAACAGTGTAAAAGAGTTCCTATTTCACCACATCCTATCCAGCATCTGTTGTCTCCAGATTTTTTAATGATCGCCATTCTAACTGGCATGAGATGGTATCTCAATGTAGTTTTGATTTGCATTTCTCTAATGACCAGTGATGATGAGCATTTTTTCATATGTTTGTTGACCTCACGTATGTCTTCTTTTGTAAAGTGTCTGTTCATATCCTTTGCCCACTTTTGTATAGGCTTGTTTGTTTTTTTCTTGTAAATCTGTTTTACTTTGTAAATTCTGGATATCAGCCTTTGTCAGATGGGTAGATTGCAAAAATTTACGTTCATAGACTTGCGTATGTTGAACCAGCCTCGCGTCCCCGGGATGAAGCCTACTTGATCATGGTGGATAAGCTTTTTGATGTGCTGTTGCAATCGGCTTGCCAGTATTTTATTGAAGATTTTTGCATCTATGTTCATCATGGATATTGGCCTGAAGTTTTCTTTTCTTGTTGAGTCTCTGCCGGGTTTTGGTATCAGGATGATGTTTGTCTCATAAAATGATTTGGGAAGGATTCCCTCTTTTTGGATTATTTGGAATAGTTTCAGAAGGAATGGTACCAGCTCCTCTTTGTATGTCTGGTAGAATTTGGCTGTGAACCCGTCTGGACCTGGGCTTTTTTTGGGTGGTAGGCTCTTAATTGCTACCTCAACTTCAGACCTTGTTATTGGTCTATTTAGGGTTTCGACTTCTTCCTGATTTAGGCTTGGCAGGAGGCAAGTGTCCAGGAATTTATCCATTTCTTCCAGGTTTATTAGTTTGTGTGCATAGAGTTGTTTGTAATAATCTCTGATGATGGTTTGAATTTCTGTGGAATCTGTGGTGATATCCCCTTTATCGTTTTTTATTGCATCAATTTGGTTATTCTCTCTTTTCTTTTTTTATTAATCTGGCTAGTGGTCTGTCTATTTTGTTGATCTTTTTGAAAAACCTGCTCCTGGATTTATTGATTTTTTTGAAGGGTTTTTTGTGTCCCTACCTCCTTCAGTTCTGCTCTGATCTTAGTTATTTTTTGTCTTCTGCTAGGTTTTGAAGTTTTTTGATCTTGCTCCTCTAGCTCTTTCAATTTTGATGCTACGGTGTCAATTTTAGATCTCTCCTTGCTTCTCTTGTGGGCACTTATTGCTATATATTTTCCTCTAGAGACTGCTTTAAATGTGTCCCAGAGATTCTGGTATGTTGTGTCTTCATTCTCGTTGGTTTCAAAGAACATCTTTATTTCTGCCTTCATTTCATTGTTTATCCAGTCAACATTCAAGAGCCAGTTATTCAGTTTCTATGAAACTGTGCGGTTCTGAGTTTTTGAATTCTGAGTTCTAACTTGATTGCACTGTGGTCTGAAAGACTGTTTGTTATGATTTCTGTTCTTTTGCATTTGCTGAGGAGTGATTTACTTCCAATTATGTGGTCAATTTTAGAGTAGGTGTGATGTGGTGCTGAGAAGAATGTATATTCTGTGGATTAGGGGTGGAGAGTTCTGTAAATGTCTATTAGGTTTGCTTGTTCCAGGTCTGAGGTCAAGTCCTGGATATCTTTGTTAATTTTCTGTCTTGTTGATCTGTCTAATATTGACAATGGGGTTTTAAAGTCTCCCACTATAATTGTGTGGGAGTCTAAGTCTCTTTGTAAGTCATTAAGAACTTGCCTTATATATCTGGGTGCTCCTGTATTGGGTGCATATATATTTAGGATCGTTAGCTCTTCTTGTTCCATTGATCCTTTTACCATTATGTAATGTCCTTCTTTGTCTCTTTCGATCTTTGTTGCTTTAAAGTCTAATTTATCAGAGATGAGAATTGCAACTCTGCTTTTTTTTGCTCTCCGTTTGCTTGGTAAATCTTTCTCCATCCCTTTATTTTGAGCCTTTGTGTATCCTTGCATGTGAGATGGGTTTCCTGGATACAGCACACTGATGGGTTTTGGCCTTTTATCCAATTTGCCAGTCTGTGTCTTTTGATTGGGGCATTTAGTCCTTTTACATTTAGGGTTAATATTATGTGTGAATTTGATACCATTTATTTAGATCTTTAATTTCTTTCAGCAGTGTTTTGTAGTTTTCATTGGAGAAGGTATGCACATTATAACATTTATTCTGAAGTAGTTAATATTTTTAATACTATTGTAGATGGAATTATTTTTATTTCTTTTTCCAGTATATGCTAATATGTAAGTATACAATTGAATTTTATTAACCTTATATTCTGTGACCTTGATAAACAAATTGATTTTATTGGATCTAGTCTCTTTTTGTAGATTCTTCAGGATTTTCTACGTAAGCAATCATGTCATCTGAAAATAAAGACAAATTTTACTTCTTTCTAATTTATATGCCTCCAGTATACTGTTTAATAGAAGTGGTGAGACTGGATCTTCTTGCATCATTTCTAATCTTAGGGGAAAGTACTCCATAATATACCATTGGCTGTGATAATAGTTTTAGTTTTTTTATGAATTTCATCTATCAAACCGTCCTCAATCTGATAGAGGAAATTTTTTCTTAGTTTTTTTGATATTTCTTAATTTTTTTCTTAATTTTTTAAAATAAATTCTCTTAATTTTTTTGATATTTCTAGGCTATATGGTTCTTCTATGAGTAATAACAAATGTCAAGTTGTAGCAGACCTCCAAAAATTTTTATATTGATTTATTTTTTTGAGATGAAGTTTCACTCTGTTGCCCAGGCTAGAGTACAGTGGTGCAATCTTGGCTCACTGCAACATCCACCTTCTGGGTTTAAGCGATTCTCCTGCTTCAGCCTCCTGAAGAGCTGGGACTGTAGGCACCTGCCACCACACCCAGCTAATTTTTGTTATTTTTAATAGAGATAGGTTTTTGCCATGTTGGCCAGGCTGGTCTAAAACTCCTGACCATAGTTGATCTGCCTGCCTCAGCTTCCCAAAGTGCTGACATTACAGGCATAAGCCACTGTGCCTGGCCTTTTTTTTTTTTTTTTTTTTTTTTTTAATTTTCTTTCTTTCCTTTAAGACATAGTCAATCCATTGCCCCGGCTGGAGTGTAATGGTGTGATGACAGCTCACTGCAGCCTCACTCTCCTGGGCTTAAGTGATCCTCCCACCTCAGCTTCCTGAATGGCTGGGACTACAGGCACAAGCCACCATGCCTGGCTGTTTTTGTGTTTGTTTGTTTATTTGTTTATTTATGTATTGCTGGAAATGGGATTTCATTATGTTGCCAAGGCTGGTCTTGAACTACTGAACTCATGCAGTCCTCCTGCCTTGGCCTCCCAAAATGCTGGGATTATAGGCATGAGCCACCACACCCAACTCCAATATATTTATTGAAAAAGATCTGCATATAAGTGAACTC